CCCCCGCTGGTTACACCCCCCCTCTAGAACCTGGCACCTTGCTGTGTTCTCAGTCTCTACCATCTGGCCACCGGGTTCTCACTCAGCCTTGAACTCTTAGGCTCCTGTCCTAAGGCAAGGAAACTGCCCTGAGACTGTACTCTGAGTTCAGGGCTGCAGCTCCCCTGTTCCTAGCCCCAGCTCTGGGGTCTACTCCCCTCACCATCGGCACCCACATTCCTCATGATGCCTGTGGTGGTCTCAGCCCTCTGGGGATCACAGGGAAGAGACCCCCTCCTCCCTTAGGACAAGTTCAGGATGCCTTGGTTGGCTTCAGGCAGCATTCACTCCACCCTCCCAGCCCTCAGAGCTTGGGGAGGAGGTTGAGGGTAGGGGTAGGCCCAGCTCTGTCCTCTGGAGAGCGCCAGTGGGAACTTAAAGCATCTTGCTGCTTCCTTCAAAGACCCTTCCCCACCTGGCCCATCCTGTGCTGGCAGCAACTTCTGGCCCGAGGAGCAGTGGGAACTGAGGATGAGTTAGGCTGAGTCCTAGCCCAGGGAGCTGTCAGTGCGGGGAGGGAGAGGGAGAGCCTTCACGGTGCCCTGGGACAGAGGGGAGAATGACAGCCCACTAGGGAGGCTGGTCCGGTTGATACTTTCCCTAGCCGAGAGAGAAACGCCATAGGGAAAGGCATGGCTGAGTCATTAAAACTGAGTGGGAAAATGCAAGGTGGGTGGGAGAAGAGCTGGAGGGACCCTGCACGGCACAGAGGGCCTTCAGGGCTAGTTCGTTAAAGAGCCTGGACTTTATTCAGTGTGGTAAGGGGTTGTATAACTGGATTCCATGGAGCCCCCTGTTTCAGGGGTTTGCGTGCTTGTGAAACCTTTTCTTCTTTTCTTTCTTCAAACCAAGTTTTAAACATTTAAAAACGCGTGACAAATTACAACACATTCAGATGTGTTATATGGACATCTTAACACCTTGGAGACTAATAACATATGAACTTGTGTTGCAGGTTGAGTTTTTGTAAAGCAAATTTCAGAATAGAGTCTTTCCTGTGACCTTTTTAATAGGTTATTATCTTGACATTGCTGACAGTTGTAGATGCTGAGAATTGTGAGGTTTGTAGTTTAAGAACCAAACATTTTGCCACTTGCGATCATTTATCAGTGTGATTCAGAGCTTTTTCAATACTGTGCAAAAACAACAAACAGAAACAAATTGCCTAGATGCTGATGTTTACGTCTGCACTGGCATCCTAGCCGGTTTCAAGTGTGTCGTCAACCAAACAACTGTATTGCTTTCATTATAATAAATACACTGCGTACATGTCACATATTTGAATGTGTCCTATAAATGTATACAATAGAATAAGGGAATGTCTGGCTTATATAGTTGAATAAAGAGTTGATTTGAGTTTAAGGCCAACCTGCTTTTTAAAAGTATGGAAACCTTATGGGACTATTGCAGTGTTTTCAGAAGGGCATGAACATGGTCCCGTTGCCATTTTAGAAAGATCGGCCTGGAGCAGTGTGGGGGGTGGGCTGGAGAGAGGCAGCAGGCAGGTCACTGAGGAGGCTGCCCTCTGCCTAGGGGGGAGCGGGCCTAGGGGCATGGTCTGGGGTTGGGAAGGAAGGGACAGATGTTGGGGACCAGGGCAGTCAGTAGGCCAAACTCACCAATCCATTTCCTTCCCAGGCACCAAGGAGCCTGGGAGCTCAGGGCCAGTTGTCAATTATGACCTCTCAGCCCCTGACCCTCACCGTTCTCTGGAAGGCCAGGAACCTGGCGGCTTCCCAGTCCCTACTCCTCCCATAAGCTATTTTGGAGGCTTTGGGTCTCGTGGGCCTCATCAGGGCCTTGTCTGAGCTTATTCTCATCCCCAGGCTGCAAGTGAAACATTTAACCCCTGAGAACCAAATGGGAGGTCCCCATTGGAAGGGGCCAGAGGAGTTTATCAGCCGGTGTCTATCGTGTCCCCTCCAGCAACCTTTCTCCCTCCAAGTCCTTCTAGAAATAACAGCTGTTGGGCTGCATTCCTGTCTTGGGCCAACAACAGGCTGGTTCACGTTGACCTAAATGAGAGCTCCTCAGGCAGGCTGGCGGGGGCTGAGCTGCTGTCCATCATCCCCCCACCCATCCCTAAGCCAGAGTGACAGTCTGTTCCCTAGCCACAGTAGAAGGCGGAGAGAGAGCTGGCAGACCCCGGCTCCCTGGAGCCAAGTGTTCCCAGGCTGAGCCTGAGAGAAGGGTCTTGCATACCTAACTCCCAGTCTGGAATCTGGACTTCTTTCTGGTTGCAGAAGGAACTGTCCTTTGGCTGTCCCTGACCATGGATGGCATAGTGGCTACCCTCGGCAGCGAGGTCCAGGAAGGGCCCTTTGCGCTTGGCCTCTCCCCAGCCCTGACCGGCCCTTCCACCTGTTCCTTCAGTTCCCTCACAGCTTAGATTTGTGTTTTCCACAGCAGCATGTGCTCCCTGGGCTCTCAGGCTCCACCTCCCCTGCATAGCAAGACTTGTGCAGGGTCAGAGCAGGTTGAGCAGGGAAGTGGGGTCCTCCCTGGAGCTATCCAGGAGAGGAAAAAGAGCTCTGCCTTTGGAAACCTCAGTCTGCGGGCACAGTACCCCTAACCATTCCTCCCAAATCTAAAAATGGCGGTCCGGGAAGTAGCTGAGGTAGCAGGGCGTGGGGCCTCGGGGAGACACTGAGGAGGGCATAGGAGGGGGGTGCTTTGGATAACGAGGCCAGGCTGGACATTAGAGATGTGATATTCTGTCTTGACTGTGTTGATGTTGCTGTGTGACCTGGAGAAATAGCTGCCCCTCTCTGGACCTGAAGTAGGGAGTGAGACCTGGACCAAGGCAGCCAGGATATCTCAGCGGTGGGGTGAAATGGAGTCTGGGTAACTCAGCTGGAGTGGCACTGTCTGCAGGGACTGTCGGACAGAAAGCAGGAGACAGATGTTGGCCGGCTGCCTGGGCTGGAGAAGTGGCTTGGTGACCTGCCTGAAGGGGCTGGAGGGCAGCTGGCTTTCTGTCCTTGAAGGGGGTCTGGTCCTGTCCCTGGGGCAATAGCTCAGCCCCCCTTCTGAAGCACAACAGGCCTCCAGGGATTTTGAGAGTGGGGCCCCTGACTCCCCAAGACCCTCTTTTACCATCTTTGGCATGTCACTCCTTTAGTTTTTCACTCCTACCCTTGAGGGCTCAGAGCCTGTGAGGAGGCTGGGAGGTCCCCAGCCCAGCGCACAGACACACAAGGGTGGTGAACAACTGGGACAGGTGTTTGGGTTGAGCCCCAGAAGAGAGGCACCCGTCCTGCCACTCCTCACTCTGACCTTGCTGGCCACATCCACCATCTAGGTTGAGTTAAATGTCGAATGCAAGCTTAGATCTGCCTCATGGACTTGGGGAACTCTGGTCTTTATTCTATGATGAGGGTGAAAGTGTCACTGGCCACTCACCGTACATAGCTACTTAAAGCAATTTAAATGGAATACAATTAAAAATCTAGTCCTTTGGGCTCACTATCCACATGAAAGAGTGGACATATGGCCACATGGACAGTGCTGGGCATCTCTACGATGCCAGATGGTTTGGCTGGCCAGTGCTCTACAATGGGATGGCTCAGCTCTCTACCTGGAGAAGAGAGTGTGAGCTCCGTGGGGCTTGGGGTCCAACCTGCCTTGTCTCCTGCCATGTCCCCGGCACAGTGCCTGTCACACAGTAATCACTCATTGTTGTCAACTCACTGAACCCAGACCTGACTCCAGAGAGCAGTGGGGTCGAGTTCCTGGCCCTTGGGGCTATCAACAGCAGACCAGAACCCAAGGTCCGTTTGTGAACAAGCCTTGCCCTCAACTGGAAGCCCCATTTGCACAGGGAGCATCGTCCCAGGACTGCTCAGGTCGAAGAGACGTGGGGGGGACTCTCTGGGTGTCTGTGCGTCTCTTGGGCACCATGTTTGGATCCTCCCTGGGGATTATACAGCCAGCTGCTGCGTGTGGCAGAGGAATGCCAAGCACCCCCCACCACCGGGGACCCCCAGAGAAGGCTTCTGCCACCCAGCAGCTGCCTCCTGTTGGGGTCATGGACACCCTCACGGTGCCTGGGCGCTGCCCCACTCTGCGGCCTCACATCTGCCTGCTCACCTCCTCACGTCTTCCTTCACTCCCACTCCTCCTCTTAGGTTCCCCTCAAGCCTCTGTGCTCTGGTGACTGCCCCAGACCTCCGCAGTTAAGACTTTGCTCTCCCATGTCTGAGTACTCGGTTCAGTCCCTTTGTTTCTGACTAACTGTCTTTCTCTCCTACTTACCTGTGAAATTGCATCAACTGCAAGAGCATCCTCTGAGCGCCTGCTGTATACAAGCACTCTGGACACGGGGACGTACACTGGAGCTCCTCGTTCATGTTAAATTCGTGATGGCAAATATCGTTTCTCACTGAAAGATGTTACTTAAAGGTGTCTGGACTACGTGGAGGACAGACGGGGGTGGGGCAGGAGGAGAGAGATGGCGGCAGCCTGGCTGGGCTGGAGAGGCCAGGCAGACAGGACGGCGTGACCCATCCTGGTGTTGGCAGGCTTGGGTGACTGCTCTGCTCCTGGGGCCTGTGGAGGAAGCGGAAGACGGGAGGACTTCAGGGCCTCTGGCTGAGGGGGCGAGTGTGTGGCTGGACTGAGCACTGAGATGAAGAAGGGGAGACCAGGTCTGGGGTGGAGAGGGAGGCGGGAATTCAGCCCTGGGCACTTGAGTGTCTGTTAGGCAACTGGGGCAGTCAGATATGGGCCTGGCGCTCCGGAGAAAGATCAGACAGCAGACACAGATTTTCTTATGATTGTGTTTCTGGAACCGTTCCTTCCTAAGGGCATGTAGTCCTGGTTTTCTAATGGAAACCATCTGGACATTATCTGAAGCATCAGTGGTACTTGGGCTAAGTGCACTGTCTTCACTTTTCTGCTGTGTCCACATGGCTGGCTGATGGCGGTCTCCTCCCATCCGATAGTGCTCTTCTGTCCCCAGCTGGGCCCTGCCGTTGGGGGTCCTGGCCTAAGTCTGACCCAGCCCAAGGGTGAGCCCCACCCCTGTCCCCCACTCCCGAGGGGCTTGCCAAAAGCCCTGTCCCAGGGGAAAGGGACTGACCACCGTCCTCTTGCACCTCTGCAGCCCAAGCCACAGAACGCAGTGACCATCGCTGTGTCCTCCCGCGCCTTGTTCCGCATGGACGAGGAGCAGCGGATCTACACCGAGCAGGGCGTGGAAGAATATGTGCGCTACCAGCTGGAGCACGAGAACGAGCCCTTCAGCCCCGGGCCCGCCTTCCCCTTTGTGAAGGTGAGGGGCAGGGGCACCGCTTGCCCATGAGGTACCTCGGTGGGCATGAGCAGAAGAGCACTCCCATGGGAGTCCGAGGAGGGAACAGTGTCCTCTCGGGGCAGACGCCACCCAGGAGCTCGGCTGGCAAGAGGACAGCGACGTTGTGAGAGAAGGGGCCGCCCCGTGCCCTGAGCGAGCACAGCCCGTGCCAGGGTGCCGGCTTGGTGGATGACCACCGGCTGGGTTTGGCCCCCATTCACCCTTTCTGTGAGGTGCCCCCTCAGTGTCCCGGGAGGAGGTGGTCACTGTCGGGCCCCACCCTCCCTACCCCACCCCTTTACCCCCAAACCCCCCCACCCCACACCACCCCCACTGGATCCCAGCTCACCCCTTCTCCTGACCATGGCTACTAGCTCCAGGTGTCAGTCCCTGGAGGGTCTGAGCGGGAGGCCCCCTCTCCCACCAGGCGCTTGAGGCCGTGAACAAGAGGCTGCGGGAGCTGTACCCCGACAGCGAGGACCTCTTCGACATCGTCCTCATGACAAACAACCATGCTCAAGTGGGTGTCCGTCTCATCAACAGCATCAACCACTATGGTGAGCAGGAAGGGGTGGCGAGGGACACCCTACCAGACAGCGGGACAGCCCCACATCTCTGCAGGGGTAGGGTATAGGAACCCCAAGCCCAGCACTAGGCTGCTAGAATGACCCTTGCAAAACAAAACAACACAAAAAGAGCCTGATTGTCACACTGCTATTTTCAAGGTGTTAATATTCTCTCCCTGGCTGATTTTAAGCTACCAACAGCTGGACCATCAAACTGGATTTAAAAATCCCTAGGTGTTTAAACATTTGACTTGTACAAATCATATAAGCTTAAGCTGCAGAGAATAATTCCTTGTCAGATACAGGGAAGTCTCATGGAGTCACAGGACAGGAAGTAACATTGGGTCTACAAAGGCCTGAATCCAAGCTCTAGAATCCTCTCCTGGCCTTTTTCTTTCTCAGCCAAATGAGTCTTATTTCTGTTTCTTTGGCAAATCTATTCCTTTCCTTTTCCCTCCCTCTTACTCCTCCTCTCCCCAAACTAGGTTTCTCTGCATTTCCTGAATATGGCCAAAACCTTTATTTTTTTAAAAAAAATATTCATTTTATGCATACAAGAACTGGGGTGTAGACCAGAGGTGGGGGGTGGGGGTGAGAGGATTCACCAGAGACAGAGTGGGGAGCAGAACAGCACATAGACTGAAACCACTGTTGAGTGGAGCAACAGGCAGGTCAGGAGAGGTCTGCTGCGCCATGTGGGTCACCTCCCTGCCCAGGGTCAAACTCATTTTGCAGTGACTGTGGGTAGCTTTATAGTGCTGCATCTTAACCCCTTTGCCACCAACGAGGCCCTGGCCAAAATCGTTGAGTTTATATTTTCTTATTTTAAGTAGCCAAAAGTCCAGTTGACATTTTAAAACTTGGCTTCAAATTGTTAAGAGCAGGGGTGAGTTTCAAAATATTTAACCAGCTAAGACACAGGAACCTAGTAATCTGGCGGGACCCCACTTGTGGTTCTGGTATGGGTCCTGCGGTACCCCTGCCCTGCCAGCCATCACCCTCAGCTGTGGAGTGGTAAAGTGCTGGCTATCAGTCTCAGAGCAGTAGCTGCTCTGAGGAAGGTCACACAACACACACAGACTCGGTACTGGGCGACCATCAACCCTGAGGAGAATCTGATGGGCCGATGTTGGCCCCTACCAGTCAGCTGTGACCAAGAGGGTCAGTCCTTCTTAGAGTACCATGGGTCCCTGACAAGAGGAGGTTACTGTGAGCCAGGCAAAATCTCTACAGAGGTAAGATTATCCCCGTTTCATGGGAAGGTGGGAGGCAGTGTGCTGACTAAAATCACACAGAGAATCCTCGCCTGCCCGGCCACCACTCCAAACAAGATTGCACGCAGAGAGACCACTCTGAGACCCTGAGCATTGACCTTGGCCTTAACTGGGTCCTCTCTGCCTCCTTCCCAGACCTGTTCATCGAGAGGTTCTGCATGACAGGTGGGAATAGCCCCATCTGCTACCTCAAGGCCTATCACACCAACCTCTACTTGTCGGCTGACTCAGAAAAAGTACGAGAAGCCATTGATGAAGGTGAGTCCAGCTGGGGAGAGAAGATATGGGGAATCTGGTAAAAGAGTGGGAGGCCTGGCCCTCGGGTTCTGAGCAGGTACTGGGGTTGCCATGGTAACTGGAAGGTGAGGCTGTGCAATACTTTCCTTACTTCCTATGTCCTGTCAACTCTGAGAACAAGGCCCCACCTATTCCACTTATTGCCATCTCTTTCACTTCCCACCCCCTGCTCTGCAGTATTAGAATGCTTTTACCCATCAGCTTCACCCAGCCTTTTGTTGTCATGGAAACCCTCCTTCCAGCCCTGAAAGCTACCTCTTCTAAGATCCTGCAGGTCAATAGGAGTTCTGATTCTTGGGTGACCATGCCTCTGCCCTTCCTGGCATCAGTAGGGAGGGGCCTCTCCAACCTAAGCAGTGGGGTCTGCAAAATGCCCAGCGTTTCCAGCAGCTGGGCTGGCTACTGCTGGCGCAAGGTTAGAAAACCCAATGGCAAATACCAACAAAGAGAATTCCCTTCCACATGTTGCTTTCAAGGGGCAGTGCTGGGTGGCATGGGAAATCTCAGGCCTCTTGACAGGATGTTTATTGCTACTGCACCTGAGAGAAACAGGCCCACAGGGAAGGCAGGATTGCCCAACTGCCCAAGCAGGCCCCTCAGACTGAACACTAACACAGACTTATATATTCACTTTTCTCTTCCTCTTTCATGCTGTCTCCTGCCTGGAAGCCTGGCCTCTTTCCCACAATGCCTCATTCCCCTGAGCTGCCTGGGGGCTCCAAGAGCTTCCCTTTAACAAGGAAGCAGAAGCCGTTTCCCTAGACAGATGTCACGCCCTCTGGTTGGGTCTCGGCACCTGCCTGCAGGTGTGCCTTTCTACGTCTGTGGTGTGAGCTCAGGCTAGGGAGCAGGAGATGGTCAGGAGGGAGGGTTGTGGCCGGGGTGGGACGTTCTGGCTCATCTGAGCTCTGGCACTGGCAGAGCTGAAAAGGGGCCAACCTCATGCCTAGGCCTGGTCCTGCTGGTAGCATCCTTGGGCGCTGAGGCTGGCACCACTCACTCCTCCCAAACTCTGCCAATGCCCAGCCCCGGGAACCAAGATCCCCAAAGAGCAGGGTAGAAGCAGCCTTTGGAGACATGGAGAAGAGGGAAGGGGCTGAGCCAGTCGCCCAGGGCTCCAGCCTACTAGTGTTGAACTCTGTGGGCTACCATAGCTCAGACCTGGAGCCTGGGGCCTCGATGGGGCATCCTGGACCCCCTGGAGAATCCCAGGGGTACAGAGAATCTGTGCAAATAGTCAGATGTAGTTTTTGTTGCTACTCCGGGGGACCCACATTTTCTCAAGGAGCCCTGAGTGACCAGGCTGCCCTTCACACACCCGGGGGCCATGGTGGTGTTAGACTGGGGGCACCTACCCCACCCCATCCCACCCCAGACTATAGCTGGGAGCTCAGTCCCAGACAGAGCTGAAACACCCTTCATTTTACTTGACCCAGAAAATGTGCAGGACTTTTTGGAATCAACAGCAAGAGAGTAACTGAGACCAAACCAGAGTTAGAGTTCCTTCCCAACCACCCCGAAGGTCTACGACAGGGCCTGTGAGGACCCCCTGGCAGGAAAGTAGTGGCCTGGAGGACCCTTCCTTCCAGCCAGAAATCACAATCCCTTGATCTATTAGGTACTGAGCTTTTGAAACTGCCCCATGCTGATTGACACATAATTTCTACCCCGAGTCCTCTGAGGGCCCTTCTGTTCCCCCTGGGATTCTCCACAAATAATAACTAAGAAGGTAACCCTGGAATAGGTCAGGGCCTGGCAGACCTGCTAGAGCAAAAAGTTTTTGTCTGGTCTAGGGCCAGATTTTAAATATTAACCCTCTGCACCTCTCCTGGGCCTGGGTCAGGCAGATAGAGGGCAACCCTCTAAGGCCGCGGTCAGGGGGTCAGCTGCTGGCACTAGCCCCAGTGAAGGCTGACACTGGCCTCTTTTTGCACAGGGATCGCAGCCGCCACCATCTTCAGCCCCAGCAGGGACGTGGCTGTGTCCCAGAGTCAGCTGCGCGTGGCCTTCGACGGAGACGCTGTGCTCTTCTCAGACGAGTCTGAGCGCATCGTCAAGGCCCATGGGCTGGACCGGTTCTTCGAGCATGAGAAGGCGCACGAGAACAAGCCTCTGGCCCAGGTGCTTCACATGCTTCCCAGAACCCCCTAAGTGGGTGCAGGAGGTTGCCTTTGCAGGATGCTATTGGCTTGAACCCCCAGCCCAGGACGAAACCCCAGGCTCAGCCCAGATCCAGCCAGGCTCCCTGACGAAGCCTCCACCCCTCATCCTTCTCACCTGACCCCTGACCCCCCTCCACCAGCTTCTACTGCTTTGTGGAACTCCAACCCCTCCTCTGCAGTGCCATCACCCCTTGGAACCCCGATTCTCTCACTAGCTCCTCTCCGGAGCCCCTACCCTCTCTTTGCAGCTCCTTTCTGAGGTCTCCTCTTCTCTAAAGTCTCCACCCCTCTCTGTGGCCTCACCCTCTCTCTGGAACCCTGTGTCCTTCTCTGAGATTGTCCCATGTCTGAGTAAGCACCATCCCCCCAAGAAGCCCATTTCCCTACCTGGAAGAAAACACCTGGACGGCAGCACCCCTCGGAGCAGGGAACTGGGCAGCCCCTCTGCTTTGGCTCTCGCTAGCCCTTCCCAGCGCCTCCCACCCCCTCTCCGCCAGGGGCTCAGGGGCCTCCTCTCCCACTGCCTGGAGTCTCTTTGAGAACAGACTAGGCTCCAGATCTTGGTGGAGATTCCCTGGGAATACAGTTGTCAGGACCCCCGCCTTCCTGGAAGCTTTCATATTTGTGCTTTTAACACAAATCTGGGGGCTCAAAATCCCAAAGCCTCTCCCCCAAGAACAGAGCAGGCTGCTGTGTGGCCTCTGAGTAACCATTTTGCTTCCATTCTCCTTGGCTCCCACTGATTCGAGTCCGGGGCAGGACAGTTTGCCCTCTAAGAGGTGGGCAGAGGCCTAGGAGGCCGGCCTGCTCCAGGTCGCCCCGCATGCACGGGGTCTCCAAGACTGCCTCCCAGCACCTGCTTCTTTATTCATATCAAGCTTTGTTTTTCTGGACACTGTGGAAAGTAAATCCTTTTCCTGACCCCAGAGAGCTGGACGTGACACCCTGGCCACCATGTGCCTGAGGAGCAGGCTCCGTGTCTGGCAGTTACAGGTTGGCTGTGTGGCCCAGCTGCTTACAGCTGGAGTCCATCCCGACTGGGAGGCTCATGCCATAGTGAGTGATCTGTCACACCTGCCGTGCTGTTGAGCACAGAGGCCCACTGGTGTGGCTGCAGGGCAGACCTCACAGATGGGGCACGTGGACGGACGGCCTGGGTGGACACACCGAGGTGTGCGCACGGTGGCCGAGCAGGCAGGGCCGAGCTGGGAGAGGAGCTCCTGAGCAGCTTCCCACCCAGACAGCAGGCCTGGCGCCTGAGGCAGGAGCCGAGCTGCAGAGGGGCCCATGCTTGGGAGAGGGACAAGCTCACCGTGTTCCCTTGTCTTCTCACAGGGCCCTTTAAAGGGCTTTCTGGAGGCGCTGGGGAGGTTGCAGAAGAAGTTCTACTCCAAGGGCCTGCGCCTGGAGTGTCCGATCCGCACCTACTTGGTGACAGCACGCAGCGCAGCCAGTTCTGGGGCCCGGGCTCTCAAGACCCTGCGGAGCTGGGGCCTGGAGACAGATGAGGCCCTGTTCCTCGCGGGCGCACCCAAGGGCCCCCTCCTTGAGAAGATCCGCCCACACATCTTCTTTGATGACCAGATGTTCCATGTCGCTGGGGCTCAGGAGATGGGCACCGTGGCTGCCCACGTGCCTTACGGGGTGGCACAGACACCCCGGCGGGCTGCAGCTGCGAAGCAGGCCCCGTCTGCCCAGTAGCTGAGCCGCCAGCTTTACTGGCCCATGTTGCTCCAGACACTGCGCTGTGGCCCGGAGCGCCCCCCCTAGTTCCTGGCACTCTGCCCTCTGTATGTCTCCCCTCCGCCCCAAGCGAGGCGCCGTAGGAAGGCTGCAGCCAGGCCAGGGTCCTCACCTGTCCGCCTTTTTGGACAAATGCTGTGCCAGGGTGCTGCCTAGGAAGGTAAGACTGCAGAATAGCTGGGCTTCGGGGTAGGGTATGGGACTGAGGAGAGGAAGGTCCAACAAGCCAGGACGCCCCCAAGGAGGTTTGGGGTGAAAACTAGCTCAGTCTCTCTCAAAGAGCACTGCTGTGAGAGAAGGGATCTAGCTATCTGGTTCCTTCCTTCCTTCTTTCTTTCTTTCTTATTTTAAAGATTTATTTATTCATGCATACAATAATTGGGGTACAGGCCAGAGGTGCAGGTGGTAAGAGGCTTTACCAGAGACAGAGTGGGGAGCAGAACAGGCAGATCTACTGAAATACACTGCCGAGGGGAGAGCAGGCAAGACCAGAGAGGTCTGCCAAGCGGAGATCTCCCCTGCCAGGGATCGAGCTCATGCTGCCCTTGCCGTGGGGAGCGTCATAGTGCTGCACTGTGGCACTTGTGCCACTGGGCAGGCCCAAGGCTGCCTGGCCTGGAATTGACTGCATAACTTTGAGTATGTCCCTCCTCTTCATGGGTGTCAGTTCCCCAGCTCAAAAGGCGGCATTCAGATTCTCCTGCAGTCCAAGCAGCTCCATTGAGGAAGCACGCCCTCTCTGAAGAAGCGTCAGAGACTGTGGTCACCAAAGGATGTCTCGGGGAGCCTGAGTTATGAAAGGACGGTCCTTCCTCTGGGCTGACCCAGTTTCACACCCTCCACTCCTGAGCCCAGAGGCCTTTGTCAGACGGGCAAAGTGCACACTCGCCACAGCAGCCTGCCTTTAACGTTACATGTTTGGAAACCACAGGACAAGGTGGTCTATTTGCTCCCTGTGATGCTGGAATCTGAGTCCTCGGAGCTCATCTGCCAGGTGCAGAGTTTGAAAGAGAGGAGGGCCCAAACCTGCATGCAGTCTCTTCCCCAGCCAGCAGGGGGTGCTGCAGGTGCTCTCCGGGAGAAACTTTCTGGACCTTTGCTTTTGCTTTTAGCCAAACGCAGTGGCAGAAGGCCCAGTGACTGCAGCAGGGAGGTTGCCGAGGCTGAGCTGGAGGGAAGGCCTGCCTAGGGTGACCTTTGAAGGTGGGGCGCCTAGTTGGGGACAGTCACCCATCAGTGAAGAAGGAGCTGACATGTCCTCGAGCAGAGTTCTCCCCATTGGACTGTTCCTGGAGGGGTGCGCTCTCCTGTCAGCACATGCTGTGCAAGGCCTCCAGGTGTGGTGCTCTGTGAACCTCCTGCCTTTGCCAGAGGGCCTGCAGCTTTGTCACCGCTTCCAGAGAACTCTCACTGCCTAATGCGCCCGCCGCTGCCTCCTCCTCGGCTGACCAGCTCACACTGGGGCAGCACGGGCAGGGGTGGGGGGGGCTTCCTCAGGAAGAACCAGAGGGCTGAGGGGACACCTGTGACCTGTGTGTGGCACGGACCCCCAGCTCCAGGCCGGGAACCCTAGCTGTGAGCAGCACTTTGTGAAGAAAGCCAAAGGCACCCCGTTCAAGACAGAGCTCTGGGGGTGTGTGCAGGAGAGCTGGAGCGACCATGGGAGCCAGAAAAGGGGGTGAAGGGCAACTTGGGGCCTGATGTTGTCTTTTTAGGACTCAGCCCAGGGTCTGCCTGGGTACAGGAGCTGGGCAATCTAGGACAAGGAGTGGCAGATAATCCCAGAAGGGGAACGAAAGTGACAGGAGTCCTCTTCCTAGTGGGCAGCAGCTTGGGGCAGAGGCAGGGCGGGCTGGGCTTCCATTGTTGTGTTAAGGCACCCGAGGGTTTGGGGTTTGGGGGGAAGGGCAAAGCTGTGCTCAGTGCTGGGCGGATGCGGCACTGTCTCATCTGGACACAGTCTTGGGATGCCTTTGCACAAGGTCATTTTCTGTGCACAATTTGCAGTCCGTATATCTCTGACCAACAGGGGGCAGAAGCCCTGGTGGTGAGGCCCTGCCCCTGCCAGTGCCCAAGCCCAGCCACAGATACTGAGGCCTACAAACAAGCTCAAGAAAACTAACTTGAGAGGAAGTGAGAGAGGGTGTTCACCCCGAGGCACCTTGACTCTTGGCTGATCCAGAGCAGACCCTGCCCGCTGCCTCCCAGGACAGAATCACCCTGCTGAGTCAGCCAGCAGGTTGCCTTAAAAAACCTATAAAGCTGGGCACAGCTGAGGCAGGCTGGAGCCGCACAGCACACACCTAGCTGTGAGAGCAGCGCCAGATGTCACCTCATTAAGATAAACCCCAGGGGCTCTGCCAGAGGTCCTGCTCCCAGGCCTAGTGGTAAACACCGATGATTCTTCCAGTCTCTTGGGAAACAGAACATAGAATGCCACTGCGGAAAGATAAGGTGCAGTGAAGCTCGGAAAGTGAGCTTCATGGGGCCACCATTAAGAGACACGGACAGCCCTGGGCAATGAGAGACAAGAGGACCCAAATTATATTATTCAAACCATCAATGAGCACCTCGAGCCTGGAGAAAACGGCCAGTCATTCTGGGGGTGACTTAGACTATAGCCAGTCACATCTTCTGATAGTTTAAAGGACTCAGGCAGCATTGTTTATTTTCCTCACCAGGCAAATTAAAAGGTAGGGTGAACACCAAAGCCCCGGGCCCCCTGTGGACTGTAGCTCTGGGGTGAGGGGTGCAGCTCCTGAACCCCTGGGCCCTGTAGCTGAAAGCCTGGCCCCCCCATTAAGGCCTGCAGAAGGCAGCCTAGGAGATGCTTGCCAACAGTTCCAGGCCCAGTGGAAATGGCCACTTAGCAGAAAAACAGAAGCCCTGTTTCCACACACTAGGACTGCTCAGATGACTACAAATCAGCCTCCTCCCCTTCCGAGAGCCCAATCAGGATGGTGGGGAAGCAGCTGGATACACCAGAAGAAATCAAAACCAGCAAAAAGTTCAAATTTAAGCCGAATCCAGCACTGCAAAGCTAGTCAACTCATGTCCCCCAGCACGGCCAGATTGGTGGTTTAAACGCTAAAATACCTGCCTGTAAGAGCTGGTGAAGAGTGCTGGCCTGTGCCCCCGAGGGCCCTTCCATCTTTCCATGATCGTGCCAAAAGCGACCACACCGGCAGTGGGCAGTGTCCACTCTGCGCTCGGTGCCCCGGTCATGGTGGGTTAGAAGGTAAATAACTTGCCACCAGCTCAGAGACACTCAGCGGGTGTCTGCTGCTGGGACCCACACTCTTAACCCTTTTTGCTCTCCGGCCTGTGCATATGCACAGAAGTGGCAAGAGAAGCTCCCTTAGCATGTTGACCCCCGGCTTGCTAAAACGCTCTAACACACTTGAGAGGCTGCATCATTTTGCTATAACTTTTTAATTCACTAAGAATTTAAAGTAGTGCCAAACATTTGCAGAGCCCTGAATCACCTCCAGAGCGCCCCCTTGACTTCACTGGATCCCAGTTTGAAGTCCCCCATGTTGGGTTAATGCCCAGTGGCGTACATATATATGCCTGTGACTGCTTTTGCAAGACAATCAGAGAGTGGCACTGTTTCAGCAAGAGACTGCAGAGCTCAAAATACTAATCTGGCTGTTAACAGAGCTTGCTGACCTCTGGGCTCAGTTCACACCCACCTCAGCACAAGGAGGCAGAAGCAGAGGCTGCTGCGCTGCCCAGGGGTGGCATGGGGGAGCCCTGTAAACACCTGTGGGCATCATTAGGGCACAGAGGATGGCAGGCACTGGGTAAGAACCAGTCTGAGCAGTTAGGATTTCAAGTTTTATTTTTGGATGACCTTTTGTAATTTGAAATGTAGCTGACACGCCACTTGGCTTGAGTGCATCCTTCCAAGCTGACGGGAGGGAGGCAGGAGCAGGACCCCTGTCGAGACTGAGTCCAGGGGGCCGCTCCCCCCACCCTCAGTGTGGTTCTATTGTCCTCAGTGGCTCAGTGTGGCATGGCTCTCATGGGGGTGACCAGTGCTGTAGATGGTGGGCCTTCGCTAATACTCTTCATGACATGCCCAGTGTTGACTTAAGCTTCACATCCAACAAGTCACCCACATACTCTCTGTGGGAGCAAGTACAAGTTCCTCGAAAAGAGGGCTCCAGCCAAAATTTGAACTGGTTCAGTGGTTACTGAAGTGGGAGCTAAAACTCCAGGAAGCTTGGGCATGGCCACTGTCGTTCGGTATCAGAGTGTGAGCGACAAACACTAATCATGCACCCTCGTCATGGATCAAGAAGAATCTGCAGATTTAGAGATTTAACAAGCTGCCAGGGACCCCTGCAAGAATGACAAGCACCAAAGCAGCCCTTCTTCCCCCACTGCTATTGCTGGTCCATTGTGTTACTTTTCTGTTCAGCCCATTCTTGGCCTCAGACCCCTCACAACCCAGTGTTCTGGGCAGCAGTGACCAGTGAGTGTTTTGGAGTTGGCATGAGAAATGAAATCTGGTTGGTGCTGGACATTGCTTTCTGGGTGGCATGCAAGTCCCTGGTGTGCATGCTCTGATGCTGTAGCATGATTCTGAGGATGTGGCCTTGTGCAAAGAGGGAGAGGGATCCCAGGGGCTGTCCCCTGGGAGACGCTGGGGAGGCAGCTGGTTTCACAGCAGCAAAGTGCAAACGCCCTTCTCACCGGTAGGTGGCACTATAGGCCAGCTCTCAGCTGGGGGCGCTCCTGGCGCGCACCACCCCCCCACTCCGCCCCTTAAGTACTATTTACTTTGTTCTAATTTACTTTGTTCTATGTCACTTGGTGCTGTGCTGGACTCTCGCAGGCAGCTTAACCATAAAGGGCTTTAGGTGCTCTGAAAATGTCAAATGTATCTGTGCGACAAATCGATTGTTTTTACCAACAACTACTGTGATTTTTATGGACATTCATGAGTGTAGCAGCAGATAAAAGCTGCATGTGTGCATGCTTGCTTCTGTGGGTGTGTAAAAAGGGCCAGCTAGCTTACTGACAGTGTGTGCACGAGTGTGTATGTGTGTACAGGATGATTATCGCTGTTATATGAGGGTCCTGGGCTCCGTGTACCGACTGGTGACCAGCCCTGCTTCCTGGAGCTGCTTCTGACTATTCCCATCACTTCATGGGCATTTGCCCGTGTGCAGCATTGGAACAGCTGAGG